GGGGGAATAAAGGGGGGGACACACAGTTGTAATGCTTTCAACAATAAAGATAACTTTACAAACAAACAAAAAAGGAAAGTAAAAACGCCCTATAGAGCTGTAACTAGTTATCTACAATAATTAGAATTCATTTCCTCCCACACATTGTATTTGTTCTTATTTGTAAAGGGAGCTTGTTAGTACTAATATCTGTATGTATATGTAATATCCAAGGAGTAAACAGGAAGGCGAGGAGGGTGCATCATAAAAGTCACGGAGGCAATTACGACCGTCCTGTTCTGCAGAGCGTAAAAGACCAAAGCACACCATTAGCCTCTCCAGAAGCTCAGAGGATGGAAGCCAATTCGGGATGTGTGTAGATCGTCAGCATCCCAGCAAGTACAGATAAATCATCACTACAGTCTGACTCCAACCATTTTTACCTTGTAATTCCATTTCTAATGGCTTCAACCCGTGTTTTTTTCTTAAGTTCAGAAGTTAAATTCCAGAACCACCACCATCTTTGCTATCACTGCCTGCACCAGCACCAACATAATGTGCCTAGCCTTCCTATTAATAAAAACACAAGAGGCAAGAGCACCCCTTGCATTAGTGCTCAGTGATGCTAACTGCACTATTAACTATTGACCTTTGACAGCAGCAACTCTGCGTGGGAGGCCCCTGGCAGCAGGGGCTGCTCTGACTGCTGGTTCCAGGTGTGCCTCGCTGCGCTTCTTGCCTATAGCAACGCTGGGCTCGAGTTGTGGCCCTGCATTTGGTCACACCTTTAGAGCAGACTGCTTTTCCTAGACCAGCACTTTTCCCAAAGTATATTCATGAAACACTTGGGAAATGCCCTACCAAAAGACGGACTTGGAAAATGTTTATTCCATATGCCCTGCCTGAGGATTCACAGGGCAATTAGCATATTAGAAAATCTTGCCATAAAGGAACAATCTTTAACTTAACTCAGCATTTCCTAAATTTATTTGACCATGTAATCCTTCCCTAATCCCGCCTCTCTACAGACTGTTTATGAACATCTCCCAGAACTCATACTTCCAAAAAGACACTCTGGAAAATACTCTTTTTGACTGATGAGGAACAGAATTAATTGGGATGAATATTGCATCCCCCACAAAGCCTGAGATCCTCAAGTACTTCACTCTTGGAAGAGGGACAACAACATAACCAACCAAGTAAGCTGAGAAGAAAAGGATTTCTGGAAATTACATGGCCACCTGATCAAAGGTGCACAATGCACAATCTACTTACTTAAGGAGATTCCCAAGATTGAACAGAGCCCGGTTGTGCTGGGGATTTAGCTGGAGAGCCCTCTGATAGTACATCTTTGCCTCTGCCGTGTTCCTCGTCAGTGTTCCAAGGTTGTTCAGGGCACTTGCGTGGCGTGGGTACAACCTGAAAATTTTGGAGTATTAAGCCATGATTGTTCAAAAACTTCTACACTGGGCACAGTTTGCTTGTTCCACCCTCCCCCCGCAGGTATGCCACAGGCAAAATGAAACACTGCATTCCCCCTTTATTTTAATGGTATGTCTATGTCAAACCTTTTTAAATTCAATTTTATTGAGATATAATTGGCATATGCACTGTGTACAGTATAAGAATCTGACTTACATATATTGTGAAATAACTGCCACAATAAGTTTAGTTAGCGTCCATCATCTCATATAGACACAAAAACAAAAAAGAAACAAATGTTTTCTTCCTTGTGAACTCTAAGGATCTGCTCACTTAACTTTCATCGGCACCAACAGCAGTGCCAGCTGTAGTTAACGTGTTGTATATTACATCACTAGATCTCATTTGTCTTGTAACTGGAAGCTTGTACCTTTTCATCAGCTTCATCCAAGTCCCCAGCTCCAGCAACCATAAATCTGATCTAAACTTTTTGTTGTTTTTTTTTTTAATTTTTATTATTATTTTTTAATTTTTAGATTTCACATATAGGTGAGACCATACAATACAAGTAAGCCCTCATTTAGTGTTGTCAGTAGGTTCCGTGACTTTCAGTCAATGGATTATAGTGAAACCAATTTTACCATAGGATAATTGCTATAAACAAGAGTTAAGCAACTAAGGTATCTCATTAACATTATAACTAAACCTCATTGAATGAAATGATGTTATGCAAGGACCCACTGTATTTGTTTTTCTCTGACTCATTTCACTCAGCATAGTGCCATATTGTCACAAATTGGATTTCCTTCTTTTTCATGGCTGAATAATATTCCACGGTGTATACAGACACACCACAACTTCTTTATATGTCTTCTGTTTTCATGTCTTGGCTTTGTAAACAATGTTGCTATGCACAGGGGGTTGCAGATGACTCTCTGACATAGTGTTCTCATTTCCTTCGAATATATTCCTAACAACTGGGATTGCTGAATCATGGGGTAGTTCTACTTTTAATTTTTTGAGGAACCTCCACACTATTTTCCATAGTGGCTGTACTAATTTACATTTCCTTTCTTCCACATCCTTACCAACACTTGTTATTTGTTTTTTTAATATAAGCCATTTTAGGCTTCCAGTCAAGATGGTAGTGTAGGTAAATGTGGTACTCACATCCTCCCACAACATCAAAATTACAACTAACCTACAGAACAACCCTCATTCAGAAATGCCTGAAATATAGGTGAACAGAAGTTCTACAACTAAGGATATAAAGAAGTCACATCAAGACCAGTAGGAAGGGCAGAGACATGGAACAGGCTAGTCCCATTCCCACATGTGGCGGATACAAATCAGGAGAGATATCTTGACTTCAGAGGTACCTCTAAGGAGTGAGGGGTCCCTGCCCTATACCAGGCCTCCCGGCTGAGGGTTCCAGTGCCAAGAAGAGAAGTTCCCATAATTTTTTGCTGTAAAATTCAGCGGGGATTGTTGCTGAGTGAGACAGAGGCTGCTGGAGTTCCAAGCAGTTCCTCTTAAAAGGCCCACACACAGAACTACTTGGACTCACTCTGAGCTCCAGCGCTGGGGTGACAGCTCACAAGGCACCAGGGACATATAAAGAGGAACTGAATTGTCTGGCATCAGGGTGAGAGATGGAGGGCAGCTTTCTCCCAGTCAGAAGTGCTGGAAGAGGCCACTGTTCCTTTTCTTTTCCTTTTATTTTTTCTTTAAATAGATCTTTATTGGTTTGAGAGGAAGGAAGAGGGAGAGAGACAGAAACATCAGTGATAAGAGAGTCATTGATCGGCTGCCTCCTGCACACCCCCAAATGGGGATCGAGCCCGCAACCCAGGCATATACCCTGACCGGGAATCAAATCGCAATCTCCCAGATCGTAGGTCGATGCTCAACCGCTGAACCACGCCAGCTGGGCTGTTCCTTTTCTGATCCCTCCCCCGAAAGAGCCGGCAGGCAGCTACCATATCTGAGTCTTGATCAACCTGGTTAACACTGCTCACCCTCTCTGGTGGTTCCCTGAGGCCCCGCCCCACCCAACTTGTGGGCCCACTCAAGTTTTTTCCAGTGGCTTTTCCATACTAATGACCTCTCCTGGCTCATGGCTCAGACTTTCCTGAAATCTCTCAAACAAGCAGCATCTGGCCTCAGTGTCCCGTATCTCTCCTAAGTAGCCCAAGGCCTGGCATTAGCAGCAGCCAGCCTAGGTTCACAGCTTGGCCTCTCCTGGGCACCTCTAAGCCCAGTACAAGTAGCAGCCAGCTGCAGATCAGTTTGTAGCTCATGCCAGGAGACCCTGGCAGAACACAGGTGGCAGCTGACCTTGGCCTGCACCTCCTGGGAGGCCCCAGAGCAGCTCACCCAGTGGGCAGCTTCAGGCCACATCAAAGTACCACCCAACAACCTGCACAAGCAACACACTCAAGTGGCAGACTCAGTAGACACCAGAGCTCCGCTAAAGTACGTCCTGCTCTGTGGGGTGGGCCCCTGCACAGTGGTTACAGCCAGTCCTTGTAGCCCATCGGTGTGGGGGTAAATCCCTCCCATTGACATGTCAACAGAAATCAAGGCTTAACTACAACAAGAGAGAGTATACAGCCCATGGGGGTGAAGGGGTGCACCTGGAGTGTCCAGCTCAAGCGCATGAGGAGGTTGTGCCACTGGACCCTACAGGCCATCTACTACATAAAAGGTTTGGTAAACAAGTGAGGAGATGTAGCAAATCTACCTGATACATAGAAACAAACACAGGGAGGCTGCCAAAATGAGGAGACAAAGAAACATGTCCAAAAATGGAAGAACAGAACAAAACTCCAGAAAAAGTACTAAACAAAATGGAGACAAGCAATCTGCTAGATGCAGAGTTCAAAACACTGGTTATAAGGATGCTCGATGAACTGAGTGAGAACTTCAACAGCACAAAAAATGACATGGAAGCCACAGAAAACAACCAGTCAGAAATGAAGGATATACCTACTGAAATGAAGAGCACATTACAGGGAATCAACAGTGGAGTAGAGGAAGCAGAGGAGCAAATCAGAGATTTGGAAGATAAGGAGGCAAAAAGCACCCAATAAGAACAGCAAAAAGAAAAAAGAATTTTTTAAAAAGGATAGTGTAAGAAGCCTCTGGGACAATTTCAAGCATACCAACATTTGCATCATGGGGATGCTGGAAGGAGAAGAGAGAGCACAAGGAATTGAAAACCTATTTGAAAAAATGACAGAAAACTTCCCCTACCTGGTGAAGGAAGTAGACATACAAGTCCACAGAGTGCAGAATGTCCTAAACAAGATGAACCAAAGAGGCCCACACCAAGACACATCATAATTAAAATGCAAAAGGTTAAAGACAGAGAGACTCTTAAAAGAAGCAAGAGAAGAGCAGTTAGTTACCTATAAGAGAGCTCCCATAAGACTGTCAGCTGATTTCAGAAACTTTCAACAGAAACTTTGCAGACCAGAAGGGAGTGGCAAGAAATATTCAAAGTGATGAAAAGCAAGGACCTACAACCAAGACTACTTTATCCAGCAAAGCTATCATTTAGAATCAAAGGACATATAAAGAGCTTTTAGAAAAGAAAAAGCTTAAAGGAGTTCATCACCACTAAACTTGTATCCCATGAAATGTTAAAGGGTCTTCTTTAAGAAGAAGGGGGGGGGGAGATTAAAAATATGAACAATAAAATGGCAATAAATACACATATAGCAATAATTGAATCAAATAAATAAGTAAACAAACAGAACAGAGACAGACTCATAGATACAGAGAACATTTTGACGGTTGCCAGATGGGAGAGGGGGTGGGGAGATGGTTATAAAAAGGTGAAGGGATTAAAAAGTACAAATTGGTAGTTACAGAATAAAAATCCTGACAAACACACAAGTAAAAAATTAATGCATAATAATGTGAAAATAACATTTCTAATGTTCAAAAGCACATGTAAAGGATTGGGTATACACAAACCAAATTTATGCTAATTATGGAAGAAAGGGAATCAATTTATTTCCTTAACTTGAAACCATAAAGAAGGAAATTCTGCCCAGCTACATCATTTAGCTATTTCTGCTACATTAGCGGACATATTTAGCGGTCTAAGAGGTGCACTCCATCTCTGTCACCCAGAGTACTTTGACTAAGCCTGTGGAGCTGGCTTTTAATGTAGAAAAGCCAAGGTAATGCCCAAGTAATAAGAATAGGATCTGTACTTGTCAAGTCTGTTGACAATCAAATGCCATGCTTGCCCCCTCCCACCCTGTTCTGTACGTTCTAAGAAGATCTGTAGCTATTTTAAAAGGCTAGGAGACAAGTTGCATCACTTTTTTTAAACGTCTTTGTTTAACCAGAGTCTCCTGAGTTGATTTGCCCATGTATTCTCCCTTCCCCACTCCCTCACCGACCAGCTATGAACATCCCTCAGAACTAGTATTTTTAAGAAGACATTCTAAGCAATGCTTCTCTTGCCTGACAAGGAAGAGAAATGATTCAAATGAATGTTAGAGCCTCTCAATGCTTAAAAGCCCTAATTATTCACTATGGCTTTGAAGGCTGTAGGGAAAGATGCATTATGAGAGGAAGTTGGGGAAAAGAAAACACATCTGTCCAGACAACCGCTGTTGTTGGCTTCTCTTTGGTGGCCTTTAATTAATTAGCAAAGGCAACTCCAGGGTCCCTGGTACAGCCCCTTAACACCCAATCTCCTAGTTCTTGAGGCATGGTGAGGTTTTGGCACTCTCTCTGAGATGTCACTACAGGATATGGTGAGACACAAAAGGAAAATGTTCTTGTACCTGTCCACCCACTCCATGCTCAAAAATCTCCTGGGAAGCTTGTGGCTAAAAATTATTTTGGAAGTGATTAAGAAGAGCACATTACAGCCAGAGCTCAAATTCTTCTAAAGGAACTTTAAAAAAAAATTTTTTTTTTTTATGTTGAGCAAAGCTCTAAGACTTCCAAATGATTTAAGAGTTGTCCAGTGAACA